AGGAGGAGGGAGTGAGGAGAACCCAGTGTGTGTGAGAGGAGAAGGACTGAGGAGATCCCAGTGTGTGTGAGAGGAGGGGGACTGAGGAGATCCCATTGTGGTTGAGAGGAGGGGGGAGTGAGGAGAACCCAGTGTGTGTGAGAGGAGAAGGGACTGAGGCGATCCCAGTGTGTGTGAGAGGAGGGGGAACTGAGGAGATCCCAGTCTGTGAGAGGACAGGGGAGCTGTCCAGAGGGAGGTGGGTTGCTGGCCCTGCGTCCTGGAGCAGGGGACATGGGAAGGGCAAAGCATCCCACAAAGGTGGGCCCTGTGTGTGGGACTGGCTCTGGCAGGATCTGGATCTGGAATGTACTCCCCAATTTATTTCTATAGAGGTGGCGAGTTTGCTTCCCAACCCAGCAGCTGTTTTGTGCCATTCTCATGTGTGTTTATTTAAAAATGGAAAAAAAGCCGCTTGTTTAGTCACGTAGGAAGAAAGAGCCTTGACTGGGAGTGAGGGAGAATGAGGCCATGTGAGAAGTCGGCTGGGAGAGTGTAGGAGAGAAAGGAGGAGGGATTTATTCTAGGCCTTCTGTTTAGTGGGGAACATAGGTTTATAGACTTAGAGTTTCTCTTAGGATAATTTAAATTAATCTGACAGGATTTTTTGGTGATTTAATGTTTGAATTAATTATAGAAAATTGGATAAAAATGATATACCTGAAGACGTCAACAAAATTCTGAAGAAGACCTATAAACATTTAGGTTATTACAATCACCAGCACTTCCCTTCAATCAGAGAAGAAAAGTAAGTTTTCTGGTTTCACATCTACATAATCATTGTACAAAATTTGGTAAGTACAGGAAAATGTGAAAAAGTAGGAAAAGCAACCATGACTACCCTACCAAGTGTCGGCCACTGTGGAGATTTTAGGATATTTCTTTCTAGTCTTTTTTTATCCTGAGGTTTGTACTGTTTGGGGAGCACTTGTGGCATGTAACTTCATGTCTTACTTTAAAATCAAATTTAACTTCAAAGCTAAGCACTTTTCAAGCTGCCACAACATCTTACACCTTTCTGAAAGCTGTGCAATGTTTCAGCAGGTGGAAGAACAGCGTTTTTTCCTGAGCGTTTCCAGGCTAGCTTTTTCAATTCTGCGCTGTCCTCTGAATCCTCTGAGCATTTTCAGAGCTCTGTTCAGAGTTTAGGTTAAGTCCTGGATTGGATTCCCAGGAGTGGGTAGCTGAGCTAGAGGCTGACAGAAGGATCTGGAATGTACTCCCCGATTTATTTCTACAGAGGTGGCGGGTTTGCATCCCAACCCAGCAGCTGTTTTGTGCCATTCTCCTGTGTGTTTATTTAAAAGAATGGAAAAAAACCCACTTGTTAACGTGGTGGCTGAAATTATCTTATTGTTTTGGTTTTCATCTGCATGTCTGATTACCAGGGAGGGGTAATGCTCAACCATGTTTGGGGGCCTTTGAACTGCCACTTTTGAGAATTTGTCTTTTGAATTCTCAATGATTTTCTCATCAATTTCTCCATACTCCTAATATATGAAACATTTTGGTCCTTTGCCTACAATAATTGTTTTGGATAATTTTTCAGTTTGTCGTTTGATGGTTGATTTTGGGGTGTTGTGGGTTGAATTGTGTCCCCCAAAAGGATATACTCAAGTCCTATCCCTCTCTACCTGTGAATGTGACCTTGTTTAGAAATAGAGTCTTTGCAGATGTGATCAAGTTAAGATGAAGTCACACTGGATTAGGATGGGCCCTAATCCAGTGAATCTTGCTTAGAAGAAGAGGGAAATTTGAGACACAGAGACGCACAGGGAAGAAGGCCACGTGACGAAGGAGGCGGAGATGGGAGTGGTGCAGCTACAAGCCAAGGAGCACCAAGGGTCACCAATAATCACCAGAAGCTAGAAGAGGCAAGGAACGGCTGTCCCCTAGAGCCTTCAGAGGGAACACAGTCTTGCCGGCACCTTGACTTCAGTTTCTTGGCCTCTAGAACTGTGAAAGAGTAAATTTAGCCACCCAGTTTGTGGTAATTTGTCACAGCAGCCCTAGAAAACTCATTTGAGGGTGTATTAATTATCTGCTGCTGTGTAGCGAATTACCACAGACATAGCTTAAAACAATACATGTTGATTATCTCACTGTGTTTGTGGGACAGGAATCTGGGCACAGCTGTGGTCAACGTGTCGGTGGGGCTGTGGTCTCTTCTGAGGCTCGACTGGTGCAGGCACTGCTTCCAGGCTCATGTGGCTGCTGGTAGCATCCAGTGCCTGCAGGCTGCAGGGGAGCCTCTCCAGAGGACAGCTCACTTTATCAAAGCCAAAAAGGACGGTCAGCTAGCAGCAAGGAAGTCAGAATTGTTTGTGATCTAATCGGGAAAGTGGCTTCTGTTCAGCCCTGAGGTCTTTGGGTTAGAAACAGGTTACTGAAAGGGATGGGACCCCACAGGCCCTGAACACCAGGACACAGGCTCATGGGTGTCCTGAGACGGCCTGCAGCTGGATTGGGCTCAAGGACGCACCAAGACCTCTCATGTTCATGTCACTTCACATGTGAGTTCCTCCATTGCTCTGAAATTTATACAGATTTCATGGGCCAGAGGTTGTGTATATATATATTTTTAAGTGACTTTCATCATTTTTTTCTTATTTCAAATTTAGTATGTAATTATTATAGAAAGTTTGAAAATGGCATCAATGTATATTTTCAAAATTATCATTGCATATTTTTTAACCTGCTCCTTCCACATAAATTGTGCACATTTTTCTGCATCAGGGAATATTCTACAACCATGTTCCTAACATGGGTTTTCAGATCCTCTGGGAAGCCGTCTGGGGTGTGTGCACATGTGTGTACATGTAGGTGTGAGCATTTTTCTGGGTGGAGGGTCAGTTCTTTTCATCAGAATCTCTAACTTGTTCTAACTGAAAGCAGGCCAGCCTTGGTTGTGGCCTCCAGCGCCCTGCCATGGCTGGGCTCTCTGCTGGGGTCTCACTGCTAGTGGGAGTAGCCCCTGGGGGAAGTTTCCAGGAATGAGACTCTGGGGCCCTTGACACATGCTGTGAAGCTGTACAGAGCGCACACGTAAGGATGCTTGCCTCCTGCCTCCTGATAAGCTCTGAGCGTGTCAGGCGAGATGCATGCCATTGCGTTCACTTCAAGTCTTCAGACTTCTCGTGAAGTTGGAAGTTTTTCATATATTTACTGGCATCATTTTTCTTTGATTAATTTCCTATTGATTTCTTTTGCCCAATTTTTTAAAAGTATGGTATAAGTAATTTTATTATTGACTTGCAAATGCCTTTTCTATTTTGAAATTTGAGTCCTCCAACCCCCCTGTATTTATCAATTGTCCCAGTTTGTTTACCTTGAGGTTTTTAAAATAATTCTTGATGTACAGAAATGTTTTATTTAATAGAAGAGTAATTTGAGTGAACATTTATTCCCACCGATCCTGGCCCAGTGGCTGTTTTAGGCCCCTCAGTGGATTCACCCAGTTCCTGGCCCAACAGTCCTGTGAGTCGATGCTGACCCAGGTCCCCCAGAAGCACAGGCTATGTGGCCCCAGCTCAGAGCTGGCTGCGCCCCGTTGCCCATGCACCCTCCCTGCCCCAATGCCCCCGCCATGAACCAGCCTGGCCCCTGCTCTCCGCCTCTACCCATGCACCTAGCAAGGCCCCTCCACCCTCAGGATTTGAAAATGATCCTCTTCCCTGCAGTGTCTCTATGGCTTTGCTTTTATAAGGACTTCTGGTTTTATTGCATTGTGGCCAGAGAGGATGGCCAGAACAGTTTCTGATTTGGACAATTAAGTTTCCTCGAGGCTTCATGTGCAGTCAGCATTTGGTTGCTGCTCCTTGGGCCCTGGAAGAGGTGTGTCCTCTGCTTGCTGGGGACACAGGCTCAGCCAGTCAGAGCTGCCTTCCGTGGGCTTCAGGTCCTCCCTCGGCCCCAAGAGCCTTAGAGGCTCCCCGCCCTCTATGAGGGGCCCTGCTGACACCTCTCCACTTGGGCTTCTGTGTCTGGAATTCTGGGTGGGAAAAAACTGTTCTATTAGTTTAAAACCAAAAAGGATGAAAACCAGTGATTTATACCTTTGTGGGTTCTCCCTTCTCACCTACGCAGCAGGCCTGTGTGGCTTGAGCTCAGGGAGGGTGGAGGGCTGGAGGTTGGGAGGCCAGGCCTGCTAGGGCCCTTGGAGGTCCAGGTGCTGAGTGGGTGGAGGAGGGGGGTGGGGCAGTGGGGAGTGCAGGGACCCACACACCTTCCCAACGCAGGGAGGGAGTTGGTAACACCGAGTTGGAGTTCAGTTATTACAGCAGAGCAGCTGCTTGCATTCCTGGGTAAGGCTGTGACATTACTTCGGACAGGGCAGAAAGCGGGTTGGCTTGTCCCAGGGGACATGTGTTGTGTCTGGAGACACTGCTGGTGGCCACTAGTGGGGCTGCTACTGGTATCTAGTGCCTGGCAACCAGCGCTGCTGCTAAATATTCTACGGTGCACAGGATAGGCCTCCCCACCCAACAAACAATTACCCGGTCTAGAACATCAGAGTCAGGGCTGCGACCCCTGGCCTGTCTCACCCAGGGCCGTGGCCTTGACTCCTAGAGCTTCATGTTAAGTTTTATATAAAATCAGGGAAGTTAGTCCTCTGGCTTTGTTCTTTTCCCAAGTTGCTTAGGCCGCCATAGGTCCTTTGCATTTCCATATAAATTTTAGCATCAGCCCGTCCATTTCTACAGACACCCTGAATGGGGACTGCGGATGCTCTTGGTGACATTCCCAGTTGCATGTCACGTGATAGGAAGAGCTGGCTTTGAGTCAGGAGACGCATGTCTGTCCCTGCGTTGCCACTGCTCCAATAATTCAGAGTGACACCCACACTCGAGCCGCTCTGCAGGGTGTTTGTCCCTGCCTCCCCCAGACCGCACTCATACCTGCCCACGAGGCTGGGGAGGAGGGACAGTTCACCCAGCGGGACGCAGCCCTGTGATTTCCTCCAGATCCTGGGTCAGGGCCAGGGTGGGCCGGGCTTGGGACCATCCCATAGGGTCCCCCCTCTCTTCTGTTCTGTTTCCTGCCTGCGGTGAACGATGGCTGAACGCTCGTTCTGCCATGCAGGTCTGTGTTTCCTGTCACCCCCTGTTGATCCATTGGTGTTTGGTTTCTTTGTTTCCAGAATTCTTTTGCTGTTTGAATTAGCTCATCTGTCTTTGATCTTGAAATGCGAGGAGGTCTCCTCTGGCTGCCTCTCAGACTTGAAGAAAATTGACAGCAAAGTAAGTAGCCTAATGACTGGATGCTCGGTACCCGCTCACTGTGATCTGGACATGAAAGGCAAAAGAAGAGAAAGAAATTGAAAAACCCTCACCAGCAGGTCCTAAATGTGCATCGCTCGTAAATTTCCTTCCAGTCTTTTTAACGTGCGTTTTGCACAGCTGAGACGATGTGATTTTCGCGTCACGCCTTTCCCCTTTTCCTGTCATCGTAGGCAGGCATTGCCACCAGGTGTTTCTACAGCTCCCTTTAAGGGCTGCACGGTATTTCATAATAATCGTGATCCATAATTTACTCCCCAATGCTGTGATGGGACATTTAAATCCTATCATTTTTTGCTTATTATGTAAAGAGCTGCAATGAACGTTTGTGCCTAAAGCTTTTATCTGCATTTAGAACTTTTTGCTAAGATAAATTCATGGACTTGAAATTACTAGGGAGTTCTCGCTTTTATTTTTTTTTTTTTAAAGATTTTATTTATTTTATTTTTCCCCCCAAAGCCCCAGTGGATAGTTGTATGTCGTAGCTGCACATCCTTCTAGTTGCTGTATGCGGGACTCGGCCTCAGGATGAACGGAGAAGTGGTGCCTCGATGCGCACCCGGGATCCGAACCCGGGCCACCAGCATCGCAGCGCGCGCACTTAACCACCAAGCCACAGGGCCGGCCCTCGCTTTTAAGATTTTTAAATATCTGTTACAACATCATCCTCCAAAGAAAATTTTACATTCTCACCAAAAGTTTATGAGCGTGCATGCTTCAGGTGTGTTTGTTTTTTTTTTAAAGATTTTATTTATTTATTTTTTCCCCCCAAAGCCCCAGTAGGTAGTTGTGTGTCATAGCTGCACATCTTTCTAGTTGCTGTATGTGGGATGCGGCCCCAGCATGGCCGGAGAAGTGGTGCGCGCCCGGGGTTCCGAACCCGGGCCGCCAGCAGCAGAGCACGCGCACCCAACCGCTAAGCCACGGGGCCGGCCCCAAGTGCGTTTGTTTTTTAATTTGAGTGAGAGGGCTCTTGCGTAGAGCAGTCGGCACTGACCAGTGTGAAGGCAGCGCGTGGACTCTAACACAGACTCTTCTGAGTGCGGCTGCTCACAGGATGAATAAGGTAGATGAAGGATTCATTCGCTCCGGCAGTGCGACCACCCACTACAGTGTCACCTCACGCCGTCTTCCTTGAGCACCTGCTGTGTTTAGTCCCAGGTTGCCTGTGAGGATTAGATACCAGCTGACCCTCAGGAGCTGACCTCCAGATAGAGCTCCAAGGTGACTGCCCTTTCATGGGGCAGATGCTGAGAAGTATAGTTTAGCAAAGGGAAATCAGTTAGTGATATCATAGTTTTTGATCTGGAAATGGTTCTAAGAAGAAATAAAAGTTCATTTGGACCTTGACCGTCAGGCAGAGTTCAGACGGGATGGGGTGGGTGCAGGTGAGGCTGGAGGACACCGAAGCTAGGACCTGCGTGGGGCGCCTGTTCTTGCAGTGCCCCGCAGAGTGCTTCTGCCACCCTTCCCTCCTCTGGGTTTCCACGACACAGTGGCCCAACCTTAGCATTGGGGTCCCACTGCCTCCGTGGCTCACTAGCTGCGGGACACCCCCGGGAGCCCGGTTTTTGTCTCTGTGAAATGGCGGCAGTGGTAGGCCCCTTCTCCAAGGGCCGCCGTAGAAGTGAAACGCAGGCATTGGCACCTCGTAAGAAGAGCCCCATTGCTGCCGTCAGCAGGTGCCGGTGAAGCAGGCTCGTGTGGAGGCAGGGGGGCTCTCACCAACGTGGTGCCCCTCCAGCACCCATGGCTCTTTGCCCAGCCTCAGGCAGCATCTCAAATGTCACCCCCTCAGACCACCTGTAGAACGTGACCTCCTCTAATTAGTGCAGCGTTCTGCTGGGGGCTCGTCACCCTTCCAGGCGCTTTGGTCTGACAGTGCACTCAGGTGATGCCGCATCTTTGCTGTCTGTGGAAATGTCTAGTACTGGCTCTTTCTTTACATTTTTATCTGAAATGCAGAGAGGCCAGTGAGTTGCACCTCTGAGTTCACAGCACCCTCTCCTCACTGGTCTGTCCCCACGTGCTCAGTGTTTACTGGTCTTATATTTTGTAAATATTCTGTGCATACTTGGAAAGAATATCTTTATTTTTAAAATACAGGATTGTGTATATATCCATTAAATAGCACTTTGGTGTTGATTGGTTTAAATATTTACATCCTCACTCATTTTTACCTATTTGCTCTATTGATTTCTGTGAGAAATGTTTTAAATCTCTCTTTACAAATATGGATATCTCAATTTTACATTGTACGTATGTCATTTTTTCGTGGCTGTTGGTTCATATAGGTTTGGAATTGTTACATCTTCCTGGTGAAATATATCTTCCTGGTAAATTGTTAGTTATGTTATTACATTCTGACCTTCTTAATGCCTGATAGTGTTGTGTATGAGTTACTCGTCCATTTTCCCTGTGAGAGTGCACCCTCTCTGAGGACAGGGACCTGTCTGGTCTGGTCACTGTTACAGCCCCACTTCCTAGCACAATACTTGGCAGTTAGGAGGTGCTCAGTAAATACCTGTTGAACGGATGGACGGATACGTTAAGATCATTACAGTCTCTCCAAAGTGGGCATGTCCAGGTTTTCAGGGCTGCCAGCTCTTTCCTCATAGGGTCTCCTGCATGATGGGCCACATGGTTGGGGAGTCCAGGAACTGGGTCCTTCCCAGTGGGGCAGACATCAGTGGAGAGACATCATCCAAGGAGACATCATCCAAATCTGACTCTGAGGCAGAGTCAGATTTCTAACACTGAACTGTAATGTCTGACACTTTAGTGTCCTCTTAGGAAGAATGTTGAACAAAAATAAAATAAAAATAAGCATGTAATTCTATATGATTGTTCAGAAATAAGTGAACCTTTTTTTTTTTTTTTT